ATTGGCTTCATGATAAATTTCCCTCTTCTCCTCCTAGAGAGGACAGGTTCATGTAATATTTTATGACTAAGGGAGCTATAAGACATATGATCACTTGAAAAGAAAATTTAATTCAAGAATGTCACTGCTTCATCGCTTCATAATTCCTCATTTGAGATAAATGTTGTCCTTTCCTATTTTAGTAACACTATGTAAAGGTAGGTGTGACCAAACCTTGAGAGCCCACTGTACCACAGCTAAATTAGCTCTCAATTCTCACTTCTGTTGATGGTGCTGAGACTGAGAACAGGCAAAAGCTCTCCAAATACTGAGACAGTTTCAAATAGTGAAACAGTTTCACCATAGTCACAGACATAGGCCAAATCAGAATGCTCTTATTTTATTACAGGGAGTAAATAAAATTTATGATAAGCATTTCTCAATGAGGAGCAATCAATAAGAAGGGCAATTTTGAAAATAAATCAGATTTTCAAAAGCTGTTTTTCTTTTTGGAGTGAATGATCATATTACAGGGAGCTCAGAGCACCTTAAAATGGCTGAACTGAAGTAGCAAATGACAAGTGACTTTTTTATGTTGATTAAAAAAAAAGGATATGAGTCGGATTTACCTCGACAGTGGCTGTATTGAAGTGCCATGGGGAGATGGTGATTTAGGTATGATATAGACCCTTATAAAACTCTCTCTCTCTCTCTCTCTCTCTCTCTCTCTCTCTATCTATCTATCTATATATATATATATATCTTAAAGTGTGTATGTTTTTGCTCTAGTAATGTGATATTGACAAAACAGGGCAAGTTCTTACCCTGTGAATCACATTCCAGATGTCTGGGAACTAGTGTTGTTTCTAAATATAGGCAGAGTCACCTCCTGTGTAACTTCAGAGACTGTGATAGTAGGCATTTTATTAGCATGATGAAAGTCACAGATATCTTCTAAAGCAATTTCACACTGAGAAATTTATCCTAAAGTGTTAAACTGAACATTTTTATAAGTAGTTTTGTTGTTTTTATCCTACTCAGTTAAAGTCTAACAGTTGTAAAATTACTAAATAACTGTGCATGGAGGTATTTACATTTTGTTTGATCTCAACAAAGCTTGTAAATCTGATATAAAGCATATCCATATTGAAATATTATATGTTTAATATTGTATATATTTGAATAGAAATTTGTAATTGCTAAATTTTGTATCTTGGAGTGGAGAAAAAGGAGGGATAAAGACTTCAAAATAGAAATTGGAACATGATCTGGTATCTTGATTTTCATGTTACCAGATTAATTGGTGATATTCTCAGAAATTATAAGGTCATAGGCAAGATGGGCTGGCTTGGAAGTTAAGCAAACAGAATTCAAAACAAAGAATTTTGTTTTCCATTGGGTGTCATGCATGTTCTATAAATTACTTCTTTCAGAGATTGATATGGCTTTCTTGTTTACTCCTTTAGAAAAAGTGTCACAGTAACTCTTTATTCTAGCTCATGTCTACTTTCTAATTGGTCACTCCCCATACCTTTGAAATACCAGCAAATAGTGCTAACATTTTCAGATTCTAAAACAATCATATTGATGAACAAACACATTAGAATGCAAGAAAGGAGAGCTGTCCGGGAGGAAAGTCAGGGAGCCCTCAGCTGCAAATGCTGTTCACTTTGGCCCCATTTTAAAAGAGGTCTTCACAGTCTGTTGAAAGAAATAAGTCCAAAAGGAATCCAAAAGGCCACTGCTCTAGGATTTTGCCAATTCTGACATTTAACTAATTGTCATGTTAGCTCCTAACAATGAGAGCAGACAGTGATAATGTCACCATTATATAATTCAGTGTGTATCTTTTGGAGAGAAATTAAAGACAATAAGATGTAGTAACATATACAGGAAAGAAAAATCTGGTCACTACAAATATTGCAAGTGATTATTAAAATTAAAACATTTTAAAGCATTTTATTAATTTGATACTGCTCTTCTGATTAAACTGAATATAGTAGTTTCACATGTGCAAACTATTTGGAACATTAGTATTATAATTTTCATATTTTATTGATGGAGTTCTCGAGAGTTTCACTCTGCAAACAGATTTTTAGTAATAAAAAAATTTCAAATGTATATGACTTGTAAAGCATCAGATTTATTTTCCTACAAGCTGCAATTAAAACATGGTCATTCCCATAAAGAATGTTGTTTCTGATGATGACTTACATGTTTTATTTAATTACAGCATAGGGTTCCAATTGCTTTGCTGTCATTGTTGTCTTTTTAAAAGTTTTAAAATATTTATTAGTTCATTTTTGCATTATATGGTGATTACATTGTGGGAAGTTGGTGCATGTGCATAATGTATCTTAATACTTTTTACTTCCTTTTTCTCACAAATCATTAGTTTTCCGTCGTATTTTGTCCTGCCTACAAATATTTATTGGTGTTCATTATTACAGTTCTGCTTTGGATCTATATTAGCACTGCTGAATGCCACAGAGAAGTAATGTGCAAAAACAAATATCACTAATTCTTGTTTCAGATGAAGGCTCAAAGAATTGAGTGCCTGAATTACTAGTTTTTCTATCTGGATATTGAAGCATTTGAAGCATTGCATATCATTGTTAAAACTGAATGAGATCATATACATAGTGCTTAGATCATTATTATACACATAATAAATGCTGTTCAACATTAGCTACCATAAATCACTAATAAGTCAACAGCAAAGAGAAGACATACTGTACTCTCCCTGTGGATTTGCATTTTCAGTAAAATCCTACAACATCATGACACATAAAAAGATTGATGATTGGCAATTGACTTCTGCACCATGCACTGGCTCACTTGGCTATTTCATTCCTGTGTGGTGTGTGCTCCACATTTTATTCGGTGGATTTATTTGGGTGTCACTTAAAGTGCTCTGGCAAAGCTTTGTATGGAGACCATAACATAGATTCGTTGGTAGATCATGTGTAGAATTTTTCAAAGATCTGAGAAGTAGGGATAATGAAATGGTTTCAAAAGTACAGCTATGTCTTAATGTATTTACACAAGCTTTAGATAAGCTTTTCGTAAAACATGTTTCTGACTAGCAGCTAAGTGGCTTTACTTAACTTGCGCTAGACTTATTCAGCAGTTTTAAAAGCGTTTTGATTTATTATATCCTATGGATTTAAGGGAGGAAGAGGCAGTAGACAGGAAGGCAAATATTAAAAACTCAACCATATTCCACTGGGAAGATTTTCACTCTAATCAGTGTTGCTTTTATCTATAAGCCTTTATACAATCCTTTCAGATTTGGATAATCTGCTCGTGTAATCACTTTTAAATGTAACTGCAGTGTACATTTACATGTAATGTTCATTAATGTAAATGTATACACTTTTAAATGTAATCACTTTTTAAATGTAATGATTGAGATACAGGGTTGTACTAATCCTGCTGTAATTGATTTTGGTATTGTGGTTCAACAACAAAGTGGCTTGTACACTAGCTAAGCCAATAAGGGGAAGTGTTTGCAAGTTACACCCAGGTAGTTTCATGTATGTGTGTGTGTATATGCGTGCTTGTGCATGTGCAAATATATTTTACATGTATGTAGCACATGTGTACACATATGTAAGTATATATGTATAGAGATGGTGCAGATGTGACAAATTGTTTGACAAACCAGCTGAGTGTGGTGGTGCACACCTGTAATCCCAGCACTAAGGAGGCTGAGGCAGGAGGAACACCACCAGTTCAAGGCCAGCCTGGACTACAAAGCCATTCCGTCTCTAAACAAACAAACAAACAAATAGTTTAAAAACCACCAACACACACACACACACACACACACACACACACACACACACACACCCAGAAAAACAAACCTTTTACTATGCCTCTTATATCCAGTACATTGACTCAACAGTGTTGACCCTATTTAAATTATTGCGTAGGAAAATCATTGTTTCCCAACTATGATCTCTTAAAACTACTTTGGTTGTCACAGAGTGAGGGATATAAGAGAAGAGGGTGTGTCTTGGGTGGTGGCTAGGTGCCTAAAGAGGAGCGGGGAGAGAAAGAAGATTGTTACACAATCCTCTTTTTGAGGGTGTGCAAAGACATCTGAAAAGAGGAAAGCTTGGAGGAGGGGTGTGACAGTCAGTATGGAATCACCGGGGCACAGGAATGAAAGGGCTCAGTGCCAATGGCCAACCATGCCTGGCGCATGGAGAACTGGTAGTCTGCAAATAAACCCTCAGCACCATTAGCAATATTTCTTTTTGGTGGTACCAGGGATGGCACTCAGGACCTTGTGCCTATTAGGCAGGTGCAGCACCACTGAGCTAAATTCCAGGCCCAACATTAGCAATATTTCAAACACAGCTGACCTATGCCCCTTCCAAGCTGTGGCACCTCTGTTTTAGGGTCCACCTTGATTATTGCATATTTCAGACTTGGGGCTCAGCTATAGTGGTCCTTGGGAATATGTTGTAGTTGCTACAACTCATTGCTAGGATAGGCTTAGGTGTGGCCAGGAAAGACAACCTGGTAGGCTGAATGAGGGGAGAGCGAGATGAGTGTTCTGCTACGACTACTAAAAACTTAAAAAACATTTTTTTGTTTTGTCTGAAAAAAGCACAAAATAGAAGTTTTTGTTTGTTTGGTGTTTGTTTTGTTCAACCTAAAGGCTGTAATCCTTCTCCTCTTTGGAGGATAATTAAGAAGGTAGTAGTAAGTCTGGCCTGGTCTGTTTCAGAGCATCCTGGTCCTCTGGATATGAAAACTGCTTATCTAGATCCTTCAAATAAGGACTGAGGATTTAGCTCACTGTTGCCACCTGCCTCACAAGCACAAAGTCCTGAGTTTGGTCCCTGGTACCAAAACTAAATAATTAAATAAATGAAAATAAATAAATAGATCCAAATACAAATCAAATTTCCTAGTATGTGAATCATCTTGTGAAATGCTGGAGCCCATTAGGGTTTACTCTGATTCACAAATTTTGTTTTACTTTTCTCTCTCTCTTTTTTTTTTTGTAGGTTCCTGGGCAGATAGATCACCACTACATGAAGCTGCAAGTCAAGGCCGTCTGCTTGCACTGAGAACATTATTATCACAGGTAAAATTTTAAGCTTAACATATGTCTCTTCTTATTAAAAAATAATAAAATTGCTTAAATTTTACTGCTGCCTTTTCAGTTTAATTCATATAAGACAAGTCAATAATTTCTGATTTATCTTTGAAATTTATCTTTGAAATAATTCTATAACTACTTCAGACTTGTCACACGATGCATTTATTCACTGATACACATGTTTAAGCAATTAATAATTGAATTTTTGTATTTTTGCATTCTAAACATGTTTAACTCTGTACAGTTGTACAGCTAATTACACACTTAGTTTAGTTAAATAATACCCAAAAAGCAGAAATCAGATCAGAGGCCAAAACAAACTATTTTACATTATGATGATCTCAGTATTTTGAGGAATTGCCTTTGAAGGTGTTGGAACACCCATTTCCACACCTGCCTTCTTATCATATGCAGCAGAGGAAAACTGGAACACAGATTCCCTGCTGAGGCAGAAGGTAGTCTGACTTGGGCCCCATGCAGTTCAATTTTAAGCTCAAATCCACTGCTCTTCTGGGTGTCACTTCACCAATACCAAGAAGAACGGAGCTTTCTCAGATGCCTGTGAGAAAGAAAAAGTTGAGCCCGTTGGTTTAAACAGCCCTGCCTGCGACCCAGGAGACTGGATCCAGGGCTGGCACTTGAGGTGACCCACAGACTATTTGAGCTATATTTTCTCCTTTGTAAAATGAGAAGAGATGTTTCCCCAGAGCTGTTCAGTTCTGTGAAAATCATGTGGCTGTTTTGTTTTGTTCATTTCCTGATGATGGAGGGGGAAAAAAAACCTATGAAAAGGTCAGTGATTTCAAAGGGTAATCACCGGGAGAGGCTCACACAGTTCTTTGAGAGAAGAGCCGTCCTAGGGTATTTCCTGATGTGTATCTTCTGCCCCTGGATGGCCGGGAGGAGTGGGAACTGCCAGAAAGCCTGCTGGAAAAGGGAACCTCTGCTATCCCCTGGCTCCTGTTATCTCATCGTCTGCTGTGCAGCAGGCTGGGGCAGCCTCCAAATCTCCCTGCTGGCCAGCAGTCTGAAGTCTCTGAAAGCACAATTAAAGGATCTTAAACATTTCCACTTGGTAGTGGCAGAGATTTGGTGTGATTATTTTAGAGCCTTTGTTTTATGATTCTTTATATCCATTCTGGTTTTACAGATTACTATAATTTGTAGTAAGTTAGAAGGGCTTTGGCTATGAAGTTGTTCCTATTATAATAGTGCTTGGTATGATTGTCCATAGAAAATGCATTATTAATGATATTGAGAAGGTGAAGACTCTTGCATCCTAATATTTAATTATTTTACTCTGATATCATGAGTTTAATTAGAGTATAACTAAAAGGTTTTTACTTAGTTTTGATTGAATAATAAAATAAAATCTAACATTTTCTATGTGCTGGGCACTGTAGTAATCACTCGACTACATGCATCATCTCATATTATTCTCATGATAATCCTAACATTTACTGTTAAAGGGACATGTCCAAATTCCATCGGTTATTGCACATTGGATCCACAGCTTTAGACCAAAATCTGACTCTATGGAGAATTCTTAAACCTACCATATAATTTAATCATGTCTATTTAGTGAAAAATGTATAAAGCCAGTTTACTGAAATTTTTTTTTTTCTAGCCTGGACTGATTTGTAAATATATATCCTCAATCAAAGCAAGTGATTTAACCTATAAATAATGTTTAGTTCTGCAAAAAAACAACAAAATAAAGATACTCTGCCCCCCAAAATTAAGAAAGCAAAATTTACAGAACACACCAGAATCTATTGATAAATATACTTAAGATATTATTAGGTTGAGTCAGGTGCTGCAAAAATGGGGCAAAAATTGTTGTTTTTTTCTTTGTACTGGGGATCAAACTTGGGCCCTTGCACTTGCAAGGTAGGTTGCGGAACCACTGAGCCAAATCCCTGGATGGAATTGTTGTTTTAATTGTACACATTTGTCATCAACAATGTGAAAATTTCAGTACATATATACAATGTGTGATGATCAAATCAAAGTAATTCAGATTTGCATTTCTTTAAGCTTTTTTTTGTACTTTAAAAATATTTTTATTGAATATTAAACGAGTACTGTAAGTTAAACATTAAGCCAAAGCACAATTACAGGTTAAATATAATCACAAAGATGTTTTAAATAGAAACCCACCATGGAGGCAGGTCAGAGTTCATTGATGCCCTCTTTTGGAAATAACCAGAGTGGAAAAAAGGAGCTTCCATTCCAAGTGAAAATAATGAAGACCAGAAGAATTTACATGCTGCAAGTGACTTTCTGTGACCAAATCAGTAGATTTGCCAGATTGATAAAAACAAAACAAAGTGAAAAAACAAATCAAAATGAGGGGCCCGGGATTTAGCTCCGTAGTTCGGTGGCCTGCCTTGCAAGTGCAAGGACCCGAGTTCAATCCCCAGTACCAAAAAAAAAAAAAAAAAAAAAAAAAAAATCAACATGCTCGGTTAAACTTTAATTTCAAATGATGAAAACTTTAACTGTACGAATATCAAATATTATGGGAAACAAACTTAGGCTGCGAAACTGCTCGTCTAAAATTCAAATTTAACTGGGCATCATTATCGGACAGTCTTAAAAACAAATGCAAAAAGGAAAGACACAGAGGTTGGAACTCCCTGACTCTGGTGGGTCACACAGAGAATAAAAATAAAATCAGTAACAAACCAGAGGGTCTCACTACACTGCTTACTTACACAGACTAACATCACAATGCAAAAATACAATTACTATTCCAAATGATGTTGCCAAAAACCATTCTAGGTTCCTCAAAGTCGGTTTTGTAAAATGTTTTGAGAAATTTTGTTTATCGCAGTACCTTTTTAGTTTTGTAGGTATCAAAGAGGAACACTACCACAAAGATAGGATGAGCTTACAACAATGGGAGAAGCAGGTATTATACGCCCGTGAAGAGTTTGTTTACTGTACTGAATACAATGACTGTACAGTCCAGGTCATCTCCTAGATCTAAACTATCAGCCTCAAAGATTTTGGTTGCTTTCTAACTTCTTTTTTACTCTTTAACCTTTTAAAAAATAATTTCTGACCAACCATTAACAGTTGTACATATTTAACAAATGCAATGTAATATTTCAAAACATAAACTCTAAAGTATAAATTGTGTACTCATCAAATCATGATAAATAATGCTTCTATCTCTTGGAGCCTTTCAAAGAAAGTGAAATGAGCATATCAAAGAAATATCTTCACTCCCATGCTTATTGTAGTACTGCTCACAGTAGCTAAGATATGGGCTCAACCTAGATACCCATCAACTAATGAGTAGATGAAAATATGAGATTTATGAATATTGAGCACCTATCAAAAGTAATGATATCTTATCCTTTATAATAAAATGGAACTGGAGGATATAGTGTTAATAAATATCACATGTTTAAAAAAGCTTTAAAAACCTATCTGAATGTAGAATAGTGAATAATAGACTCTGGGAAAGTTGGGGGAAAGATTAGAGGGTTGTTGGATAAGAGGGACCAAAACACAATTAGGTAAGAGTAATGAGTTTCAGTGAATATAGTTTGCTGACATCTATAGTAAGTGTTAAGAATAACTAGAAAAGAAGAGATAAGAAGCTTTTACAACTGATCGTGTAGCATTTGGATTGGATAATCCTGTTAAACTGGAAACTGGTTTGCCTGAGATTTTTTTAGTCTTTAAAATACATCATTCTAATCCAAGTGGATGAAACATCTAAATATTAAAACAGAAACACTAAACTTGCTGGAAGATGAGTTAGGCAGAACTCTTGAAGACATTGGCATAGGAAAAGATTTTATGAACAAATCCTCAGTAGCACGGGAATTAGCAGAATGAATCAATAACTGGGATCTTGTATTAAAAAACGTCTGCACTGCAAAAGAAGCCATCAACAGAACTAAGAGACAACATACAATGTGGGAAAAAAAAATTTACTAGCTGCTCCTCAGACAAAGGACTATTATCTAGAATATATAAAAGCCCATTTGCCCATCAGTTGGAAACTGGATAAAGAACATGTGGTTTTACCATAAAATGGAATATTACTGAGCCATGAAGAATGAGAAATTAGATTCATTCATAGGAAAATGGATACATATTGAGGATATATTCCTAAATAAATAAGTCATACATGTGTAAATACCAAATAGTTTCTCTTTTGTGAATAAACTGTAATAGTACGTAAGATCCTAATGAGATAACTGACATTGTGAAATGGGAAGAAAAGGGCTAAAGGTGTAGCGAAGGTGAGAAGGGTAGGGGAAGGGTAATAAGGGAAAATAAAAAAATGTGAGATAAAGAAAAGATGGAAACAAAGTGCTTGTAGATGGGGAGTGGAAGAGGGGGTGAAGGGAGGGCAGGGACAAGGGGAAAAATGAGAACCAAGACTTGTCATGTAAAGGTACAAGATCCCAACAATGAATGTACTATATCCCTAAAATATACCAATAAACTCAATTAAAAAATAAAATATATCATTCTAGCAACATTTATGGAGATAATGTTATGTAACATTTTCATCATCTTTTCAATTTATGTCATGTTTAGGGTTATAATGTAAATGCAGTGACCATAGACCACGTCACCCCATTGCACGAAGCCTGCCTGGGAGGTCATGTGGCCTGTGCCAAAACTCTTCTGGAAGCTGGAGCCAACGTAAGCACCTTTTTCCATCAACAGTGTCTCAACCTCTGCCTGAGAGAATCCAACAGAGTTCTCCTCCCCTCTTCCTCAACAGCTTTCTAAAAGATGGTAACAGTAAAAGTAAGGTCACCAAATCACCTCAGACTTCTTGAGGATTTCCAACTATTGTATAAATAGTTGACATGCTCTTAAAAGGCTTTCCAACCGTTGTATGATGGGTAGCATGCTGCATAATAATGCAGAATATTCTTTAGGTTATATTCTGCTTTCATAACTAGCACAAGATGAAAATCTTTAGACCTATGTTTCCAAATTTATTGATGATTTTCCTTAAATTCTTTTTCAGAAACAGAATGACCAATTTTACCATTGAAATAGTTACAAGCACAGTGACTTCATCACTATTTTCATCATTACTACATTTTCCTTCATTTATTCTTACTGAAACTTAATGATTGAATTAGCTTTTATTTGATACTTGAGTATAGTTTTTTCCATCTGTTTCATGAGTTGTATGCCTACTCCTGTGAGTTATCTGCCACATCATATCTATCTTCTGAAGTTTTAAAGCTTTTCTTATTGATAGGTATGAATTAAGTATGCTTTTTCATGTTTACCGCACATGTCTTCCCAACTATTTCAGCTGGCAGGTGGCATGACTTTTGAAATTTCAAAGCTGAGTTAATCATGTATGATTTATGAGTCTTATTCTTACCTCTTGGGTTTGATTTAGGTAAATGCAATCACAATAGATGGTGTGACCCCATTATTCAATTCATGCTCACAAGGCAGTGCTAGCTGTACAGAAATTCTTCTGGAATATGGTGCCAAAGCCCAGCTAGAGTCCTGTCTCCCATCTCCTACACATGAGGCTGCTAGTAAAGGTAACTCAGTTATGGGAGTAAATGAAGAGTGTGTGTGGGGGGGTGGAAGAATCTTTGAAATGCTCTGCTTCATTTTTCTCTCTCACTGATGTACATTTCACGGGGCAGCATGGTGTATGATGAGTGTGAGTGAGTAGGCATGAGTGAAAGGAACCTCATTGCTATTTTTGTGTTGGCAGGTCATCACGAATGCCTCGACATATTGATATCCTGGGGCATAGATGTTGACCAAGATATTCCTCATTTGGGAACACCTCTCTATGTTGCTTGTATGTCACAGCAATTTCATTGCATCTGGATGCTTCTTTATGCTGGTAATTTTCTTTAAAGCTTTTTCTTTTCTGTCCCTATACACAAGCAATTATTTCTCTAAATCAGCTCCTTTCAAAATTGTGCCTTGCTTCTTTGCAAATGTTCTCTTTGTAAACATTCTCTAAGTACATAACCAATAAAAATGACTTCATTATTGGTAACACTTAAAGCTCACAGATGAATATATAATCTCATTTGGGAGTTATGTAAATGGAGTCTAAAAGCCCTACTTATAAATTAAAATCCTCAAGGTTGAATATAGTGTTGCTAAGTAGATATGTATCTTTGAGCAAATCCATCAGAAGAAATTTTAGGGAAACTTCTTGGATAATTTTATCTTCTAACAACCAAAAAAACTTACGTACTTTTCCAGATTTTGAACATTCTGTCCTATTTATATAAAATAACTTAATATCCTTTTACACTGTCATGAAGTAACTCAGTTTCTCAAAGATTGGCATCAGCCCCCATGAAAGATTTCTAATCTGTTGAGATCATAATGGTCTCTTCCACCACATACCCAGGAGCTCCTTTAGGCTGTGGATCATGGTTCCTCACCCCATCATTCTTTTTTTACCACAGTGTCTCTCTCTCTTGTGGTACAGATACTTAGAATATACATAAAATGAACAAATCCGTTTCTACTTATTATTTATGACCGTCATTTGACCCTTTATATATTCAGACATATAATTTTAGTAAACCCATTATCTCAGCTAAGTTATAAATATCTTGCAAGCAGGATCTGCATCTATTTCATTCTCATCACACCTAGAGTCTTAAACATGAGTTTTGTTAATAATTGCTAGCAGATTGCTTTTTTTCTAGCCATGATCTCCCATAAATTTGATATAACCAGTTGAGTTTATATTTTATCCTCTTTTTTCATTTTGCTAGGAATATTATCATTTTGCCAAACATTTTATAATGAGTTTTTTAAAAATACTGGAAAAGTGCTGTTAGTAATTTCTGGTTGTTATTTTCAGGCTCTAGTCTCACAAAATTGATATAACCCATAGTTTTTTACTTCACTATGGAAATTTTGCCAAATGTTCATGCTTCACTAAACATTTTATATTTGCTTTAAAAATACTGAACATGACTGCATTTATTGAGACTTGCAAGTAGTAGGAGAGCCATAAAAGAACTCACAAAATATACTGCTTTTGGAGATACTCATTAATTTTACAAAAGTATCAGAAAACAAAGTTGAAAAGAACTTATTCATTTTTATTGATAGGGGTTCCTTGGTGTGTACTAAAAGTGAGATTATTACTTTTTTTACAATGTTGAACTGCAGTCACATGTTGCACGCTCATGACCAGCATCTGTCAGTCCATGCACTAAGATAAAATAACTTGCATTAAGTAACTTTGGATGCATGGTTGTATTTTTTTAATGTAAGCATTTAAAAATTACTTTATATGCATATATCATTGATATACTTACCAATTTGAGGGGCTTCATGTCTGTATTACATTCATTGATTTAAATTACATGATTAAATCAGGGCAGGAAACGCTACACATTTTACCTAAATGGCTCACACATCTAGGGTTGTGAGTTTTTCAAAATAATAAAGAACTGAATTACCTTTGAGTTATGAATTTCATCATGTTCTGCTTATATTACTGCAGTTAATTTCTGGAATGATTCAAAAATTTATAAATCTCCTCTTACTATGAGATCTTTCAAGCACATAGAAACGTTTTAGAACAATGTTGCAAATGTGTGTACCACTTCTCCAGATGTTCCAGTTTAAGCCTTTTTTAATATATAATATATGCTGGGTGTGGAGGCACACGCCTGTGATCCCAGCTGATCCAGAAGGATCGCTGTGAGTTCAAGACCAGCCTGAACTGTGCAGTGAGGCCCTATCTCAAAAAACTAAAGCAAGCAAGCAAGGAAGCAAACAAACAAATGAGAAAACCCGTTATAAAAAGTAATGTATATGTTTAAGAAATATTAAAAAAGTATATAAGTAATAAATATATGTAAATAAATAACTCATTTTAGAAAACCTAATGTTCTTTGTACCCTTCTTCATTGTCCTTTTTTGTCCTCTCAGAGAAAACCAATTCATCTAATTTTTTTTTGTATTTATCATCATTGTTTATGCATAGGTGCTGATGTGCAGAAAGGCAAATATTGGGATACTCCTTTACATGCTGCTGCTCAGCAATCCAGTACAGAAATTGTAAACTTACTGCTAGAATTTGGAGCAGATATCAATGCCAAAAATACAGAGCTTTTGCGACCTATAGATGTAGCTACATCTAACAGTTCAGTGGAAAGAGTTCTGCTTCAACATGAAGGTAAGAGGGATAGATGCGAACACTGTTAAATTACACAGAAAAGTTTATCTAAAGTAGATGAAATCACACAGCTTTTTGTTGGCAGATAAGTTAAGATAATGACATATAATTAGGAATATTTTTGTGAGAGTAGAACATTTTCAAGTTAGGTTTTATATATGAAGAAAATATGGTGATTTTTAATTTTCTTTTCTTGTCATTTCAAAGTTTTCTTATTCCTTTTGTTAAATACATTTAATTTATTTTGCCAATGCATAAATACATAGTTCTGGTAATGTCTGGTCATTTATATTTGGAAAGATGTCCCATTTTGTGAAGGCATATGTCTTCTGTAACCTGTTAAAGAAACATGATAAGGAAAGAGTTTCACACTTAAGGCTTTTGTTTTAAACTAGAATTTGTTAAACCTGGTTGAGAGACTAGAAGAAAATTTTTTTCAGATGAAAGTTAGACCTAATTTGAGAAAATATATATAATTTTAAAATTTCCCCTTTTAGTATATAACTCTCTTTGCAGCTTTTGATTTGTTTCTCCTTCGAAAGAAAATAATGTTTCTGAGATTTTGAATGCATCAATAATTTCATAATCTTTCAGAGGATAATGTTTTAAATAATATGAGATGTAATTGGTCATATGATCTCAAATAAACACAATACAAATACTTGCATAAATGTGCACAGTGTACTCGTCATACTTAGTTTAGTAAAAATCACTGCATAGAAAATCTCTTTCATGTAACTTACTAATTATAAATTTCATTTTGATTTTAATTAATTCATGTTTTCTTGTAGCTACACCAAGCTCGCTTTGCCAACTTTGTCGACTCTGTATCCGAAATTGCATAGGAAGACCAAGATTGCATCTTATCTACCAGCTGCAGTTACCAACATTACTGCAGAATTTCTTACAATATCAGTAGTGAAATAGTTCTAAATTCTTTGAGAATTAAAATTTCTATTTCATTTGACTATCTCATTAATATATGCTAGGGTAAAGTGGGTATGAAATCACACACGGAAGCAGCAAAATATCAATATCATTGTAGCTAGTACTTTTGTTTTATGAATTTTTAATGTTTTGGATTATAATATGTTTAAATATCTATACCTTAATGTCTTGTTGTTGAGGAAAAACTGAGAAATTCTCCTTTTTATATATGTTTTTCAAAGTAGAATCTAAAGAAAAACATGAACTCTTACTAAAATTTTAATTTCATGTTGTTTATATTTTTAAAGTTCTATGTTCACATAATGGATTAACTTTAGTTTTGGCTATTGTGTTTATCTCTGTGTTTTTAATATTGATGCAACATATGAATACAGTTTAGAAAGAAGGAACTAATATGCAGTTTGAAATAAAGATAATTCTCATTCAGGAAATCTACTATGGTGAATGTGTACTTGTCATTATAATGATCAGTCCACGAGGACGAGATAAATTGCTCTCCTCTGTGCAAAGAGCTCAGTCTTTTCTCCACAGCTAATAGATCCCTTATAGTAACCAGTGGGACTGAAAGTGAGCACTGCCCTCTCACCCTAAGATATTTAGAACATTCTCCACCTGCTAAGGCTATTTTAAGACCTTCTCAAGAGCGCTCCCTAAGGTCTCTCTTCAGTGTTTTAATACACTCCTCCACGCTTCTTACATTTCAGAAGTTATTGATCATTAGTGGTGGTGTTTACACTGGAGAAAATTTTGATTTCAAAAATAGAAAGAAAGCTGTATTACCTGTTAAACAATATACTGTATATGGTTGGGGACCTTTAAATGTCTGTTTTACAAAACATATCAGTCTAATACAGTTGTAATATCCAGAATAATGTGTATTATGATGGGTTTTACTATAGAATAACCTCATGAAATGTAATTAGATAGTAAAGCTACTTTTTAGTAGAACAGGCTTCTATTATTGTTTTTCCTGGATTAGAGATGAAGTCTCAGATTGAAAGAGTAACACAACACATTCTTCTCTGTTAGTTTCATGAAATAAAAGAACAAACATCAAATATGAAAAAGGATACTAAAATTTTCCATACGTTTTTCTCTTAGCTCAGTATGGTTGTCTTGTCAAAGAAACACTTCAATTTAAATATACCATACTTTTATTAAAGTCATATTATAATTTCTTGGGATAAAATACTTTCTACTCTAAATAGTATTTTATTTTACAATGGAAGGGGTTGAAAAATGTTCAATTGCATGAATCTTTTAAAATTACCATATCATGAACATGAGAGTGGAGTAATATGGAACAAAAAATAGATACATTACCTCAGAGATCTTCTCGTCCAAAATGCGTCCCCCACACATATACACATGTGTACGGATATACTCACACACTAAGGCCCAAGGACAAAATTGGACAAAGACAAAGAGCAAAATAATTTACTATTTGATATAAGATCAAGGAAATACAGAGAAATTTTGTAGATAGTCAGTATAGAAATATATATTGTATTTTGGAAGGGAAAATAACATCTAGTGTTTTTATAACCACAGCCTAGATTTGATGATTTTAAAAAATTAAATGGAAACATAGATTTCTTCAGAAATGAAAGTTTAAAAGTACTGTTACAAAATGGCAGCAAATTCAAACGACTGTTATTCATCTACAAACTAACTTTAAATCTCTTCTCTTTTGTGGATAATTTCACCTTTTCTTTGGCATTCCAAAAATATCACCTTTCTTTTAGTATTAAGAATGGGATCCAAGGCCTTCTCTCTGAGCTACATACCTATTTATTTTTCTGTTTTTATTTTATTTTGAGACAAAGTCTACATTGCTAAGTTGTTCAGGTGAAGCTGAAATTTCTAATTCACCTGCCTTATATTCCTGGAGGGGTGAGGTTCCAGACACGGGCTACCATGCCTAACTTTTTATTCTTCTTTCCCAGATTTTTCCTTTTTTTCTTGTCGCTTCTCACTTCTGTTATTTTAAGGCTTCCCCTTTTTCTCAGAAATCTAGATAGACATTTCATACTTTCAATATTGAAATATTCACTCATAAATTTATTAGCTATCCATGTGCTCTATGACTATAAACAAGTCATGAAATATCTATAGGTCTGTTTTTTCACTTTTTTAAATGACTGGTTTCTTTCCATTTGAAGTCTGCATTCAAATTCAATGACTTTTTTATCATTGAGTTTATTGATATATTTTGAAATTCAGTGACTTTTAATAAGTAACTCTGGGGGCTTAAAATATTTTAAACATAATTTTAATTTATTGTGAGTACAAATTTCATAAACCACTCATTCACATGTGCCAAAAAACTATTCTAAACAGAACTTATTTTTATTTTATTTGTTTATTTTGTTTATTTGTTTATTTTTTACGGAGGATCAAACTCAGGACTTTGTGCTTGTGGGGCAGGCAGCTGCACCACTGAGCTAAATCCCCAGCCCACTTAATTTTTATTTTAAGTTTCCATTTCTGAGTAAACTAAGTCAATTTTGTGATTTCTCAGTCTTTCGAGGTGTAAGATTTCCGAGTGAGTTCGATTCCAGTTATCCTCCTTGCACTCTTTTCCCCCAGCGGGTATCTGAATTCCAGAAGACTTCTTAGAAATCCCCTATCAGTGGGACTGTGCCTTGGCAGTGTTGGTCCTCTGGGGTACTCAAGTGAAGAGAGAGAATGAGTTTTAGGCAGATGACCCGAGACAGGGATTAGGTCAGAGCACAAAAAACTTTTACCCTAATTTAAGAAAACTCCTCATAACAAAAATTTAAAAAACTAGACTCCGACAACTGGTGTCGGCTCCGGGCCTTTGCAATCATTGTTCTGTGTGCCTAGAAAACACTCTACGCCATATTCTATTTTATAACTGTTGTATTTCCACCAATAATTAGGTGAAAAACAGTACTATTTGCAGAAGTAACTCATAATACCAAATCTGCTTGCATGACCAGCCATTCTCTTTGCGACCCTCTACTCACATCCATATAACTAGAATAAGTTTACTTGTGTATCTGTCTCCATTATGCTTTATGACTTCATTGTAGGTTCATTATTTCATTCTGACACCTTCCTCATCAGTGGAAGATTAGTCTACCTCTTTCCCCTTAAGGACTACCAACTGCCTCTTAAATTAGCTTGAAACCCAAAAGCTCTTTTCTTCTCTGCCTACTAAGGGTGTATGGGGTTGCATGCAAAAAAAAGAAAAAAAATAGCATCACTTTTCAAAGCACAAGAACAGAAAAAAGAAGTTAAATTCAACTGCTTCAAAATCATCATCGCTATTTGAAGATGAAAAGGACAGGCTGCACTGATTCATGACTCAAATATTTAGAGGTTTGGAGAGGAGACATCTGAGGAGTTAGAGATTCCTGACACCAGTTCTTTGGAGCAGTTACCATGGAGCTCTCCTTATTCATTTTCTACTACTTGCTGATTTTAGATGTCCATCCCTTCCAAGCTGCTTGAGACATAGAATGCAGCCTAAATTCTGAGATGATAAGCAATTGGACTAGGATGGTCTTCTCAAAGATGCTATTGAATCATAAATTTATTTCAAAGATTTTGAGTAATGATGCATATAACTTCATTGAATAACATAACGTGACACAAAAATTTATTAAACCTGTAGTCACCAGCAAGTTCAACATATGGAATATGAACCATGTTCCACCTCCTTTCAGAGATGATTGGGTTGGGAATTTTCCAAAAGCTGCTATCTTGTGATATACATTGAAAGATAGATGAGTCAGGGAGATTCTCTGATGCAAAATGCTGGAAAAATATGGCATAAAGCTATTACGGTGGATCCATGACTTACAAACTTAATTCATTTTCGAGGGCTGGTTGTAACAAGTTGGTTGTAAGACTATTTTCCCCATAGGAAATAGTGGAAATACCCATAATACATTCCAAACCTCCCAAAGCACCCCTTAATTAACCTTTCCATAATAAAAAGGGTTATATAATATGCGTAATTTATCAGGAACGCCAAAAATTTCCCTAGTGTGTATTCCAAAAAGTTATAAAATGTGCCTAGTTTACCAGAAACAATTATTTTGTACTTTATGCACCATTCAAGCCATTCATTTGGCTTGCAGGAAGGGAGGATAAAATGGCAGGTGGTTATTGTTTGGAAGGAGGGTCCCCTTCCATAAGAACATCAGGAATCTGGCTCTCTGGTGTACTTTCTCTCCTTGGGAGAGTCAATAGCTCACTAGGACCTGACTGTGGCTCAGTAGGTCTCAACCAGCATTCAGGTCAAAGACTTTGGTCCTAAGCTTAAACTAAAATTCTGGTTACAACCCAAATTGTTCATATGTGATGCTGGTTATAACTCAACGATCCACTGTATAATTGATTTGAGATAGAAATGCCATGAAAATAAGATTGTGTTATGAAAGACACACACATAGAGGAGAGAGAGAGGAGGATCCAGACAACATCACAAATTTATGCCAATAGTGGTCTTCTTTTCAAGGACTTTCCCATTTAACTTGCCTGCTATTCCTCTAACCTGAGGCAGCAACAGTCCCAGGCTAACAGCCACAATAGCAGTGAATAAAAGAATCTCAGAACTTTCAGAGTCAACAGGACACTAAAGACAGTTGAGAACTAAATATGAACTCTTCTGGATGTCCCATAATACCCCATTCCCTGTAATTATTAGAAATAATGTTAAGGAGCCTCTCTTCCTTGAAAGAAAAACAAATAACTAGAGTACATAAGATACATTGCAAACTTCTACATCCTCTCACAAAAGATGAAAATTCTTTACATGCTTAACTGGTTTTAAGCCAGCAAAAGGTCATTAACAGATACAATATCAAAAGTGTCTTGTTTTCTGTCACTCATCACTAGTCCTTTTCAGACCAGATTCTTAATGCCAAGAAAATACAAAGGTGGGTAAATGCTTTTTGAGTGTGTCCAAAATACTCATACAAAGATGAAACAGGAACTAGTAGATGATGCAACCATGGAAATCTTTATATTAGAAGGCTATTCCTTCTTTTGTACTCACCTCACAATTTTTTTCTTCTGTGCTCATAACACAAGGGCAAATTCATAAATATCTGAAGAATATCAAAGAAAGAAGTCATCAACTGATTGTCACATGTGCTAGTTAGGAATCCAACCAGTCTGCTTAACTAGTTC